CTACCCTTAATCCATTTGAAATTTGGAACAAAACGCCCTTGGAGGTGCTGGGNCAATAGACCACTTTAGAGGTCGCGGTGCATATGGCCCATAATAATAATAATAATGTATTTTATATGGAGAAAAAAACATTTTTCGTAGAAATGGTATAAAACTCTTAAAAATCAATATTTTTCAATCGGAAAACTTTTTTTTCAAAATAAAAAATAGGGGTATATTTTTTTTTCGATATAGAACAATCCTAGGGTGTGGCGGCATTGGAAATCCGACCTTATTTTTTGTACATACATTTTTGGACCACTTTAATGTACATACACACACATCTTTCTTAATAATTAAAAATTGTTATTGAGTATTAAAATTTCAATTCACACGAAAAATTTTTCATTGAGATAAATAGGGCTGACAAGAATATTGGAAGATAAATTTATATGCATGGATGTAGGTACATGTACCTACACGTATGTATGTATAATGCAGCAGCTATCTTCATTTGGTATTTGTATAGGCTTATTTGAATCACCTGATAACAAAAACACATCACCGCCTTTTTTATAAAATAGTTTAGTTTGCCTTAGCGTATTTTAGCCAATGATCGGAACCAAACGAAATTAGTTTGGGACCGGTTCAAAATTTTATATACCATACTTATCAACAAGTTGTCTCTTAGCCTTTATAGTAAATTTTTAAAAGTAAATTTGTGAAAAGTATGGTTTTCAACCCACTTTTGGAAGATTTTCTTAAACTTAGTAAAGTCATTTTGCCAAAAATCACCGTTTTGTGTAAAGGTAATATCTGCAAGCATCCATCAATCACGCTGGGACTATAAAGACACCAGCGCTGCTATTCGTGTGACGAGTTTATATTTCAGATACGGTTACGGTAGATTTTCTAAGAAATTTTACGCGCAGCAATGGTGGTATTTATACGAGTTTTAGTGCCGCCGGCTTTAGCCGATTAAAAAAGCAATAATCACCTATGGATACATGCGTTGTGCAAATACATACATATGTGCATTAAATAATACGTGTTCTATTTAGTATCGTATAGCAAGTGTTTTGAACAACAGTTTTTAAAACAAATTTAGCAAAAATAAAAATAAAAAATACTTTTTCCTAAAAAAAAAAATAATTTTGCAAAAATGAAATTACTGCTAATCATTGTTTGGGCGATTTTCGAATACGGGACATTATGTGAAGGTATTTAAAGGTACATCCTGCGGATATATGTACTTATATGTACATACATATCGCACCGTTATTCAAAGGAGCATTTACTCAAAATACTCGTTTATGAATTAGCTCTGATCCAGTACTCCATGAACTTACAGGATTTTACACGAACTTGCAGGAAGTTGCAGGAAAAATGTTCCCGTACTCCAAAATTCTCCAAAATCCTGTAAATGAGAGCGACTTTTGGAGAGTTGTTTAGAGAATGAAGTTGCAAGATTTTACCCGAACTTTTTCTTCTGGTAAAATCATGAAAAGTGTCAAGCAAGTGGTTGACGTTTTTACAGGAGAAATGGTTTTTTTGTTCCCGTACTTTTTGTTGTTACTCACTTTTTACTCTCACTTCAGAGAGTAATTTTGCTGTTTGACAGTTTTACAGGATTTTGCACGAAAAGTATTGGATCAGAGCTATTATGAGCCATAAGCACCGCGACCTGTAAGATAGTCTTTTGTGAAGGCTTTTAATATAGTGGATAGCACTTTCGTGGGCTTTTTGTTCCCTCTTTTGAATGGATTAAACAAGAGCGTCACATTCACAAAGAATGTGTTCTGCCACTTTTTCTTCATCCAGCTCACAAAAAAAGACATATGTACATAAGCTCGTGTCTGCAAGATTAATTTGAATGAGGTGATAACACCTGGAGTAGTTTAGTGAAGCTTCTTGTGTTGAACAGCTAAACCGGGTTGCTTGTCTTTGCCCTGGACATTCATTCTGGTGCCTGCTGAATTTTTTGTTGTTGTTGTTGTAGCGGCAATACTAAGCCCCCCTCGTCGATTTGTCCATTAATCGTTGTCGTCAAGCTCAACTAACGGTAGGCTGAGTAAACGAGCTGTTTCGACGGGGTTAGACCAGGGCGAGTGTGCCGTTAGCTGAGTAGGCTTGAACTGGCATGTGAAGTTGGTGTCATGGTAGTATCCGGACCGTAATTATGGAATAGCGCGGATCTATCGTGGCAGTCGAAGCTCTGTGTTTGCGAAAGGTGAAGATTGGACTCCGATCACAGCATACATAGGTCTAGAGTCGTGTAGGTAGTGACCGACTCTCTATGAATGCCGTTGATCACTCACGGCTCGTCGCGAAAAGATACAACTTCCTTGAGCAAGGACCTGTTGGAGTGCTCACATCTGTGGCATCCCACCAAAAATAGAGTACTCAGCAGTTCTGTCGCCTTCCGAAATGCGGTCAGGTTTGCAGCTTTATTCACTGCGAAGTAGTAGTTCCCGGTGACTAAATAGACTCGGCATAGTTCAAAACCGGTCATTCAATTGCCTTGTATGTTGCCAACAACATTTATTTGTCTTTGCCCCAGGTGCTGCCATTATGCGACTTTAGAACCTTGTTGCGGCTGTGTACCTCCTTGGCAATAGCGGTTGTATGCGCGACGAAGAAGCGCAGGCTGTCAAAAGTAACCCGTAATATTTTCGGGTTGTTTGCAATAGGAATTGGTGCGCCACCGACGTTAATGCCTAGTTGATGCCTGACCTCCATCATCCAGATGATGAACAGAGTCGCTGCTGATTTCGTCAGGGAGCGATTTAGGTGCCGAGCAGTGAAGATGCGAGTAAGTTCAGAGAGGTAGCCGTTTACTTTTGAGTAGATGTCATCAGTTCCATTCCCGGACGTCAATATCGAACAGTAGTCAGCAGATGAGATCCGGAAAACTCTCTCCAATGGCTGTGGAAGCTTCGAGACATAGAAGTTAAACAGTAAGAGCGACACTTTCCTGAGGAATCCCTTGCTTAATTCTCCATGGTTTTGATATTTGATCTCGTTGGCAAACGGTTACGGCAAAGGCCACGAGTCATTTCAAGGTTTGTGGCGTTAAGTGTTGTGCACTCTTCGGAAGCCATGCTGATGCATCGTTGGGGTCAGTTGGTACGTAAAGAACGGGATTTGCAAGGTCTCGAGTGTCTTCGCAACGGGGGAGTGGAGTGTTATTGGTCATTCTCTTTGATTTCCACACGACGGGAATGATGAGAGCGGCCATTGACAAATTTGGGATCTTGGTGAGATATTCTACTCCCTCCGGACGCAAATTTGTCAGGACCAGCATGCAAATTTCGTCAGTGCCAAAGGGTTTGAAGGCTTTTGCTTTCCCGATAGCCACCTGGACCTCATTGATTTATCAGTTGGTGAATCTCCAAATTAAGGTATTTTAGACGGAGGGCCGACATCGACCAAACGCAGGCAGTCATGCTCATTTGTGAGAATAGCTGTTTCTTCCTGAAAGTTTAGGATGACTTCCGCGATGCGTCGGGATGTATTGAAAGCGGCAGTAACTATCTTGTGAAATTGACGTTCGCCTCGTGTTCTCTCTCGACCATAGGATCTTTTAGATGGCGGTGATGCTAGCCTTTGTCTACGCAATGACATCATCATACCGAGTAGTTGCACCTTTCCCAATAAGGGACCGAACGTTCAAGGTGTATACAATCGTATAATAATCCATTAAATGTTTTCCGGGGTCGTCAGCATAATAAGGGGATCCCAACCCAGGCATTGGGTTCCTTTTCATTTGAATTAGTTTTTACATGGTGAGCTTCAAACCCAGCGTACAACCACAACCTAGGGAACTTTTGAATGCACATTTATATAGCGATTCGCTTACTCCAAGACAGACCCCCATTTGAGCTGCATCTTAGGAGAACTGACGCTGCAGACTTCAGCGGACCTTTAAACCGCCAGTCTGCCATGGCCTAAGGCTTCACACGCCTTGGTCATCGCACATGGGTTGCTCTCGTTGGCCAGGCTTTTTCTTGATATATCTATGTACATATATATATTTGTTCTTCTCTCCAGCTTATATCAGCAAATATGAGCAAATGCTACAGCTCTTTCCGAAGCCCACCTATGCAGAGTCGAGAGTGTTGCGTAGCGGTAGAAATACGAACTTCAGCGATCACCCCTGCAAACGCACATGCCGAGCAGATCAGCCAATGACATGCTACTACTACTTCGTTGTGCATTACGATGAGACCTTCAATCCGAGTTGTGAGCGTTATCTCGATAAACGATTTCGTTTCAAGGTTGGTGGACGCGAGTATATCGACACATTCGCAGTGCGCAACTTTGAAGGTTTCGACGATTGCAAATACGCAGATGGTGTAAAAACGGAAGTGATGGTTGTTAACGGGCAATTGCCGGGACCAGCTGTTGAGGTGTGTGAGGGAGATACGATTGTGGTAGACGTTATCAATAGCATGCATGACATTACAACCATACACTGGCATGGTTTGCATCAGCGACAGACGCCGCATATGGATGGTGTGCCATTTATTACGCAATATCCCATAGAACCGGCTCAGGCATTTCGCTATCGCTTCGACGTGGATCATATCGGGACACATTGGTGGCATAGCCATGTGGGACACCAACGTGGCTTCGGTTTAGCCGGCGCATTGGTGGTACGACAGCAAAAGGCTAATGACGTGCATGCTTCATTATATGACTTTGACGCTTCGGAACATACGATCTTGATACAGGATTGGATGTACGATCCTGATGGATCAAAACCACAAGGAATATTGGTTGATGGTCTAGGACGAAATCTACCGCCGGTAAATGGTACCAAGACAAAGCATACTGCACCGACGCTCTACTCAACCTATTCAGTAGTGCGCGGCGGCCGGTATCGCTTTCGTGTAATTTTTAACGGTGAGCGAGCATTCAGTAACTATTTCCTTATATTTATGTTTAGTCCGCATTTGTATTCCACTAAATCGTGTTTGTTTTTTACTCCTCAGGTATCGCCAATTGTCCGATAAGCTTAAGCTTCGATAGTCACGAGCTCGTGGTCATCGCCAGCGACGGTAATGACATTGAACCTGTTAAGGTGCGCAAGATCACACTGCATGGCGGCGAACGTTACGACTTCGTTTTGCACGCCAATCAAGGCGTTGAGAATTATTGGATACGCGTCAAGGGACACAACTTCTGCAAGCCAAATAAATTGCATCAGGAAGCGATACTACACTACCAGGGCGCTAGCAGGCGCGCATTACCAAAAGCTCCAGTATTTTATGAGTATGAACCCAGCGGTAGGGAGCTGAACACTGTCGATAAGCCACCAAATAATGATGATAATTTGATAACAATCGTCGACTTGAAAGCGTTGGAGAAACGCGCTGCTACAACAACCATTCCGCACCGCACCTACTATACCAGCATGACTGTGCGCACAAAAAATGAGTTTCTTTTTCAAATTGACGACATTACATTCACAATGCCGCCACGTGTCTCGCTATTGCAGACGCGTAATCTGGGAATCGGTCAATTCCTCTGCAATAAGACGCAGCAGGCCGCAATGGGTTTGAATTGTCGCGGTCGTGAGTGTAAATGTGCCAATGTTATCGAGGTGCCGGCTTTCAAGGATGTCGAGTTCGTTGTTTCTAGTACCACTGCAACGGCTCATCCCATACACTTGCATGGCTATACGTTCCGTGTTGTCGGCATTGGCGTACTGGGAGAAGATCGTATTAGAAATGTGAGTACTTAGGAGGAGCTACTAAATGAATGTGTTCGATATTTTGCCCATATCTATTTATTATTCTTAATAGATCGAGGAAATTGATCGTCGCACCCCGCTGCCGCGTCGAGAGCGTGGTGCCCCACTTAAAGATACCGTGCAAGTGCCTGCGTTTGGCTATACTATTCTGAGATTCTACACCGATAGCCCGGGCTATTGGATTCTGCATTGCCACATATCAGTGCACTCGGAGATCGGTATGGCGGCGGTATTGCGGGTAGGCGCCCATCGGGAAATGAAAACTTGTCCGGTGAGCAACTGCGGACTTTGCAATTCGGTGTTTTGAGAGCTGAAATTACTTTACTATTTGTTTATATTGGGATATGTGTATAATATTTTTTTATAAGTTAATAAAAAAATGCATTACATAACAATTCAGCGGTATAGACATGGGTAATAAACAAATTAATTAATAAAACGGATTTCTCGTTTTTTTTCGGATATACATACATATCGCCAGCTTAGAGTGAATAGTTGCTAAGTCCACTTTTTACGAAAACTCATACTTTGATACAGGAGGCTAGAGAAATTAAAATTGCATCGTTTCGAAAAGGATAAGGTCCTTGTTTTATGTTTTCCCTTTTATGTTAAATGAATGGAAAATTTGCTCAGTCCAAAAGAAGCTCCGAAAATTCGACAAGGCCAAAATAATACGAAATCTTTTAATTTAGATTGAATCCCTCTGATTCAAATGGAGCTTTGCTTTGCTTTAAGCAGGCAAACTGTTGTATTCAAAGTTTTGCGAAATACTTGAAGAAAATGGCTGGAAGCTTTTTTCTTCTTCTGCAAAATTTTGAACATAATTTGTTTTTTGTTTATTTCAAATTCATTATTTTTTTTTTTATAAAAGTCTAGCTGGTTATACAACAAACACCTTATAAACTTATATTTCAACATTTTTTATAAACCTTCAAAATTTCTAACTTTTTAATAAGAATCTTTAGGAAAAATTTTTGGTATGTAGCCCACTTAATTCTATGGAAGTGCAAGTTTCAAGTGGAGGACACTGCCAGCAAAAAAAAATCCAAATTTCAACGGGATTTTTTAGCAGCTTAAAACTTTCACTACAAAACTGCATACTAAAGATTCTGATTAAAATTTGAAATTTTGGTGAAAATTTGTACATATGTACATTAGACTGCATCACTCCCCATACAAAAAAAAATCGGTACTGTTTTTCCATTGGAATTATAAAATCTATTATATTTTAAGACGTCCACCAAAATATTTCGAAAAAATATTAAGATTTAAGTGAGCTGGACCGATTTGAAAATACCTCCAAAGATGGAGTTTTTTATAAATACAAATAGTTTCTTAAAGATTTTTTTTAAAAAATCCCCTCAAATGAAAAAACGGTTTAAGCTTAAAAAATTGCGTAAAAATATTTTTAAAAAATTAAAAAAAAAATTTTAACGGAATCGTAATAATGAGATTTTTGATGCAGTTTTTAACTTTTTTCAAAGATTGGTATAAGAAAAACTTGAATAACTGAGCCTAAACTCTCCCGATTTAGACTTGTGAGATATCATTGGAAAGGTATTTTCTCACCCTTTTTATGTCTTTTCTTTCTTTGCTAATAAACTCATTCAAAGGATGAAAGAGAAAGGTAGGATGAACGAATATCATTCAAAGTTGAATTAAGAAGTGTTGGTATTTGAAAAAAAAAATACCGAGATCCCATAAGTTTCAATCAGAATAGTTTTGGCCCAGTTATTTAAGTTTTTCGTAAATCAAGCTTTGAAAGAAGTAAAAAAAAAACAGCATCAAAAATCTTATTATTGCGATTCCGTTGAAAAGATTTTTTAATATTTTTATGCAGAATTTTTAAGCCTAATTTGTTTTGTCATCTGAGGGGACTTTTTTCAAAAAGTTCCTTAAGAAACGATTTTTATTCATAAAAAACTCCATTTTTAGAGGTATTTTCAAATCAGTCCAACTCGCTTAAATCTTAATATTTTTCCGAAATATTTTGGTGGACGTCTTAACATATAATAAATTTTGTAATCCCGGCGGAAAAACCGCAACTTTTTTTGGTGATGCAGTCTAATGTACATAGATTGAAATCTTAATTTATTTGGTGTTTGTTGTAACAAAAATAAACATTACAAAAGACAAATAGCCAAAACGAAGGCAACTTCGAAAAACATTTTTAGGACGAACCTAGAGGTCGTATTTTGTAATTTTTCTTCATACTTCCTCTGCTGGAGGTCAAAACTCTTATGAAAATAAGTAAAGGAACATCTTTGATAAATCAAATAGGAAAACGTTTAAGATTAGCATATCCTATTCCGATGTATATTTTAATTCACTGAACTGCGCCATTGTCGCTGCAAATACGATAAAGTTCAATGGAAGCGGCTTTAACGTGGTTGTGGGGGTTTATGTGTAATGCACACGCTCCAACTCGGAAAATTACAACGCGGATCGATTATGTGCAGAAGGACCTGGCCTTCTCACTTGGCATTTTCAATTGGCGTTTATTGGATTCGACCAGAATCGCTAAGGCGGTTAGCTCAGTTAGCCCTTTTCTTGTAATTTTAAAAACCAAGTTTTTCAGACATCTCAGATTTCTTAACAATGTATGTTAATGCTGTTGCAAAAAGTTTATTTAGCAACTTGGAAGTTTGACTTGGAAATTAGAACTGGAAAACAATCCAACGCAGCAAAGTAACGCAGCAATTGCAGGTAAGAAAATATGCATACGTATTCTCAGTATTAAATTGCGGCAAAAGAGAAATATGTACCTATAAATGTTGAAAGTTTCAAAACTGAGTGATCGGCTCAAATATTTAGCGGCACAATATATTCTAAGTACCTATTTTTTTTTATCTAAGTTTAAAATGAATTTGCATGTGCAAAAAATGCATTTTTCTAAATCAATACACTTAGGAAATTTACTGAGCTTAAAAATTGAGTCTATACAGGGAGAAAATAATTACAAAAATTTTGAATCTTTAAATAAAAATTTAACTCTATCAGTAATTTCAGCAGTTGCGCATTATGCAATCATCAATAAATCATGCTTACAATAAATACTATTTCGTTATGTACATACGTATAAAAAATAGTAAGTGGAAGCAGCACTAGGTACGCGCTTAACTTCCTATTTACAAATCAATGCCTTCTTGAGCTGCTAAAATAGCCTTGATCTTCATGAGTAACTCCTTCTTGACAGCATCGGGAACAATGGCACGCGCGCGTGGCGTTACATCGGCAATCAGTTGCTCTACCTTAATGTTATTGCCCTTCTCCTTGATTATATTGCGACACATTAGACGTACCTCGTCACGCCAGCCACATTCAGCCAAACGATTACAAAGCAAATCTTTTAGCCTAAAGACAGAATAATTAAAATAAATGCATTTATTAAAATATATTTACTTTGCATTGCATTGCCGGTCTTGTATGCAAAAATCAAAGTACTTACTTGGAACGATCACCGCTTAGGATGGTTGCTTGATCTACAGTCTTAGTTAAAGTCATTTTTTTGCGAGAACTTCTATTTAAATTTGAGTTTTGTGGAACTTCAATAACTAGTAAAATCACCGCTCATTTGCTAATCTTCTCAGCTATTCTTCTTTAACGCCTGCTTTTGTTTACGTCTCCAAATTAGAGATGTAAAACCATTATTGCATTGGAAACATCGATATTTGCCGTTCGATACATCAATTCTTCCGGCCAGTGTAGCCAGGAAACTTTCCATTTGGAGCTAAAACGGTCGAATTAAAGCGAAGTGCACATCGGCACGATCAAAGAACGTATGTAAATGTATACATTTACGTTCTCTATCTCAACCTTTCAGATACGGTCAAAATCGTCGCGGCACATTTTCAAGGTAACGAGTTGTCGCTTCTTATACATTTACGTTCTTTGATTTATGTTTCCCAAATGCGTACTTAGTGGCAGCATTTGTAGATAAAGCAGTTTCACATTGCAGCAATTGTCATAATCGCGATATTCAAGGCAGTAGCCGCTTCCGTTGATATGACACTTTGATCCCACCTAAAATCTCTTGATTTTCAACACTTCCTTCCGCTAACAAAATTTGTTAAACAAGCGAAAGCCTACATTTACATTTCATTATTTGCTATCGTAAATGTTTACACCTACATATTCTAAATACTTTGGAACCAACGAGCTGCAGTAATTACGACTGACTGCCTTCTTGCAATATTTGATGTACGCGGTGCTCGTCTTGAGCGGGCGCTTGAAATGTAAGGTACTTCTTTTGTTTAAATTAATATTCTAATATTGAATACTCTATTGGAAAGTGGCATACATAAGTAATTCCTACCTCTTGTGCTGAATGCATATGTAAATTGTCTACCGCCGTAAACTAATGGCAAAACTTTTTACCTTTAGTTGATGCTGTTGAGCGAATAACCAACGCGGCATGTATATAATTACCGAAGTCAAACGGCATGCAATCAATTATGCCACTTTCAAAATAAACGGCTCATATAATATGTTTTCCTTTTTGATGATTCATTCAAGGTAGTAATTACAAAATACCACTAATTGACTAGCGAAGATATCATTGTGTAATGTTTCTTGAGCTATTACTGTTAGTAAATGGCACAACAATTCAGTTCCATGTTACTATCCACCACCTTCAGAACCAATCTAAAAACAGAGTAGAAGTTAGACGTTCGAGACACAAGCGATTATGCTCAATGTGTCAATTCTCTGTACCAAATGGTTTCCAATAATGCTTTTTAGCTGATAGGTTTCAAAACTAATGTTGTTAAATTTACTAAAATCGTGATAGATGCAATTTAAAAACTGATTTCATTAAAAAAAGAATTAAAAGTGGAGTGTTAGCGTACAATTTTTTTGTTAATGACTTAAATTAATCTTGTTTTGTAAATAAAATTACCTCATGTTTATTAAGTCTAACGTTGTCTTATATGGAATATGAAATGATTTAAACAACACCTACATATGTATGTATGTAAATCCTCCAGACTGTTGCTCAGACTAGACTGCCCACCTGCTGTTAGAGAATTGTTTTGAGTGGCTGTTGGAATTGCATGAGGTACCTAAATACAGAAGTATGTGGGTAGAATGTCTAGATATGCATGCACACGTACAACCATTCGAATGTTTATTTTTCTTCCGAGCCCCGATGCGGATTGCCGTAATTAAAGTACTTAACTTCCCGTTATTAAATACTTAGCTAGTTCAGTCTGCTATGTACATATCCGTGCCGTTAAAATAAAATAGCCTAAGAAGAGATATACCCTCTTCCCTTTAAAGCGACATTTCATTGGGTTCCCAAACAATATTTTAACGTTTAATTAGCCATAGGTGCAGTTCAAGATGCCCGTTTAATAGAAGCTTAATAAAAACTTTAAGTGACTTAAGCTACTTTAACTGAACGGCATAAATACATATGTATGTATGTATGTATGTACATCAATATATGTATTACAAAGTTTTTAGAGGTGTGCTCAAAAAAAGTATGGCTTCCAAATTTGTTGATAGGCTTCAACTGTTTGCGCTAAATGTAGCGAACCTGCGCTCATAACGTCATCCATCCACGAAAACAACATTTCTTATATGTTCATATGTACATATAGTATACATATGTATGTACATACTGACTAATAGCGACAATGTGGGTTGAAAAAATATATGTACATAAATATCCGCCGCTCACACAGCTTGTTCAAAGCCGGCCGCCTTGCTATCCATACATGGACAGCTTTTTCGGAAACTGGTTTCCAGCTCAACGATTTTATGCTATTAGCACGCCAGCAGTACATGCTGGTACACAAATATGTACATACATGCATATATATACATATGTATGTATGTACATTAAGCTGTATCACGACATATGAAAGAAAAAAGTTTAGCGTGTCAGTTTTATTTAAACAGTCATCTCGAGAGAAAGTTTTGGGTGTAAAAAAAAATTTTTGGTACCCGCTAAATCGCGTTTTTTACTATAACTTTCTTATTTTATATCCGATTTTTTATATCTTTATGTCGCTGTAAAGGTCTCGCTGAGGACTATAATTGTCCATTAAATTGGCCTTCAAAACCGTTTTAATTTATAGCTTCACTAATGTTGGAATTGCTATCCCTAGATTTTTATTTTTATAGAATAACCCAATAGCTCGCGAAAAACGATGACGACCTTGCTAAAAAGGGTTAGGCTTTATTCAATTTTAGTCCTGAGCGATGGCTTTTCGGTGACATTAAAATATAAAAAATCGGATAGCAAATAAGAAATAGCGAAAAACGCGATTTAGCGGTTTTTAGAGAGTGCATAAAAACAATTTTACATCCAAAATATTTTTTCGACATTCAAATAAAACTGACATACGCTGAACTTTTTTTGGTGGCACGCCTTAATGTACATACAGTAGTTACTTTCTGTTGTTTTTGACTTTAGATACCACTTTAGACTTTTTCCAGCACCACTAGACTACTTTTGCGGCTATTTTGCTTTATCTGCAGATTTCGTCTAAAACTTCCTATTCAATATCTTTTTTCTGTTCTCAAGTACAAAAATGTGTACTTTTGCATTCATATTAGCCCTAATTGCATAGAAATGCATTGATATACATACATACCTTCATACATACATATGTATGTATGTATGTAAATAAATATTGTAGGTATGATGTATGTACATATTTTCGCTGACGTCGCCATTTTGGTGAATCTATTTTCAAAGTTGGAAAAATGCTGGCGCTGTGTTTAAAGACTCTACCAGGTTGAGTATGCTGTGGGCTTTCGAAAGCGATCGCTTTGCAGCCAACACACATACACACACACAAACATACAAATCATCATCAAGCACATTTGTTAAGAAGAAATAAACCAACAATGTAGGAGTTAATGAACGGCAATGGCAGATGTTCACTTATTTCGAATTTAACACCTTAAAATGTCACTTTTCCTTTCAAACTTCCTTGGAAATTAAAAGTAGAGTGCGAAAGCTACCAAAAATGCCCGATTTGTTGAGGGTATCGAAATGTACATATGTATGTATGTTATAGGGACTCGTGTGCATATGTATGCTTAGCTGTGCTTATATTTTTACTAAATTTTTAATTTTCCTTAATTTTTAACTAAATTAAAATGGAAGCAAAATCATGTCAAAAGTTGAAAGAAACGAGCGGCCGCCTGGTAGTACATAGCTCCATCTTAAGATTGTTTAATATTTTTTCAAAAAAAAAACAAAAATCTACTAGTAGTGTGATAGAAAATTAAAGAGGGCAAAATCATTAAAATGAAATTAAAAAATTTCTCTTAATTTACTTTAATTACTACAAATGTTTGCACCTGCAATTCTCCTTAACTTATACAAAGGCTTGCTTAACACATTTCCAATGAATGCGGTAAAAATATCGATTTCCATAAGCACAGTACTTGCAATATGTACATATGTATGTATGTGTGCGAGTTTCTGTAGAGTGGAGGAAAAGGACAATACGGCAAAAAATGAGTCATGCCGGGTACTAAGCGACAGCTGCGCAGGATGTGGTATATACAAACGCAACAAATACAGAGGTGCTCACGTAAATAGCGCACATATGTATGTATGTAGATATTTTAAAATATTCACAATGATTTAGGTGATAGGTTTTTTCGTTATTTTCTTAATTTTTTTTATTTTTTTTTATAATTCAAAAACAAAAATCGCACAAGTCAAATTCAAAAAATTTGTGCAAAATTCACGAAAATTCAACAAATTACAAAAAAATGTATCAACCAACTTTTTATTCAGAATTTTTTGGATCTTTTAAGGTAGGTAGGTATGTAGGTTTAAAATATTCAAAATCTTTTTGGTGGTTATTATTTTCGTATTTTTTTTTTATTTTTACGTACATACATATGTATGTAGTTGATTCTAGAACATAACACATATATGTAAGTCGCAATTTAAAACTTTTTGAAAAATTCGCAATTTCAAAAAAATTATATCTAAATTTTCACAATTTTATTCAAATTTTTAGAATATTTTTGAGTATTCTTCAATTGTAGTACAATAATGTACAAGTTAGAAATTACTAAAAATTACTGTTGATTTTTTATTTTTGTTTTGCTGACGGTGTTCCGTATTTTCTTCGACGTATCGATAAATAAATAAATAAACAAATTTTCGAACATATGTACATACATTGTATGGAAGAAAATGCACGTTATCATACTAAAATTTAATGGACTACAAAACTGGATATATACACATTTTTTTTCTAAAAATTTTAATCAAAAATGGCGAAATTTTGGAGAAACTTTGTTGAATTTTCCAAACTTTTTACAAGGTTTGAAATTTTGACTGTTTTTTTTTTAAACAGCTAAACTTTTATAGATGTTATTATTGTCATCAAATAAACAAAAGAAAAACAGCAAAACCTTTTTAAAATGTGCTTCCCTTATTAATTTTTCCGCCACTGTATGTATGTACATAGTACATATGTGTGTATGTGCATTTGTTGTATATGTATTTCCAAAAATGTGTTTGGTAAATAAGGGAGCATTTCATAGATACTTGCACAGAAACCGTTGCCTAAATATTGATGACCTCGCCCAGCGCCATAATATCCAATATACACGCATAGGTACATGAATATTACTACTAGGTAGCTATAATAAAGAATATGTATGAGGTAAAACCGCCTTACTTTCATACATAGCTAG